AGCACAATGGCAAAGCGCATACGCCGGAAAGGATGCAAATGCAACTTCTGCCTCTAATAATGGTTATACTGGAGCTGTTCGAAAGTATCCCACAACTGGAGAAGTATCAACATCAGCATCGAATGCGAATGCGACACCATTAGGTAGAACCGAGACTGGACCTAGTATGACTTCACAAGCAATCACGAACGCGGCGCATAATGATACAGGTGTCGCAGCAATTGTGTCGGATTCTAAGACCAATCAAAAGACAGTTGTACGAACAGGTGGTGGTTCACAATGGACAGATTCTTCCCTTCTTGAATGGGATCCTTCTCATTTTCGCCTTTTCGTTGGTAATCTTGCTGGTGAAGTTACTGATGAATCTTTACACAAGGCATTTTCTCGTTGGACATCATTACAAAAAGCACGAGTTATTCGGGATAAACGTACTACGAAAAGTAAAGGATATGGATTTGTTAGTTTTAGTGATGGAGATGATTTCTTTCAAGCTGCTAGGGATATGCAAGGAAAATATATCGGTAGTCATCCTGTTCTTTTAAGAAGAAGTACTACTGAGATCAAGGCTGTTACACCCAAGGACAACAAACATGGAAAGAATAACAAGAACAAGGGGAAAGGTGGTAATAGGAATGATGGAGGACAAGGTAATAAAGATAGGACTGGAGCTGGCATTCAAAAGGCAGGAAGCAAAACCAAGGGTGGCTTGAAGGTTTTAGGATAATTATCAAAGTAAGAGTGGACACCAAGTCAGTGGGTTTCAAGCCAGTCGAAGTATATGGGAGAGGAAGAGAGGGCGAGAGAGAAGTAATGATCGTCGGCGCATGTCAACAGGACACATACCGAGGTATGGCTTTGGATTTGTTAATGGCAAACTTTCGATTGAGCTGATCCTTGAGATACAACGCCACGATAATTCGTATGGTCGAAATTACCCAGAGCAGTATTCTTTACTTAACAGATAAGCATAACAATTGTTTGCATTTATAATTCAAACTATATCTACATACAAATCATACCTAGTCTTGGTGAAATGATAGGTAGGTGAGGCCATGATTATCGGTTCGTGTATAAGGGGGCTATTCGTGGGAGAAAAACAGGCCGAAATTGACCAATGCGTAATACCTCTCTCTACGCGTTGTTTTGGTGAGGGTGCACGTACCATTGCGCATTGGTCAATACCGGCCTGTTTTTTCTCCTACGAATAGGGGGGATAGTAGCAAGAAAATGCTCCCAGTTAGGTTAGTCAGCTTATACTGTACAAAGCATACCCCGCCTCGAGCCCGTGTGCCTGCCTATTCGCAGGAGAAAAAACAGGCGGAATTTGACAATTTAAATCTCTATTAAAATCTTCTAATTTAATTGAATAATAAATCATTTACAAATGATTTATATAAATTTAAAAAGATCAAAAGAAATTTTAGCCCCTTATTGTTTAGACAATGTTTTCGATATTTTATTTTATATAATATTGAAGGAAAGTAATTGAATGATATTGTATCATAGAAGTGGTCGAATCCCGCCTGTTTTTTCTCCTGCGAATAGCCTGCCAAAGAAAGAAGACTTCCCCATACTATCCTACCCCGTCACATATTATCAGGATTTATTAATTCAGCCTTGATGATACCTAAGGTTGATTGCAAAACCTTTACTGGCTCGCAAGAAAATTTCAGAAACACACCCCTTGTTCCATCGCATCGTGTTTCAGGCAAAAACCAAACAGTTTTTGATGTTGTCAAAGCTGTAAACATGTCAAATGGCATGTGAAACCGAGATGAAAGATGAACTTGATCGTACTTGATTGATGGATTGCCAGGGTTGTCTTCTTTCGTTGTTGAAACGTCCATCGGATTGCCTGGTAGGTTGTTTCTAAAGTGTTGATAGTACGGTTTTGTATGGTTTGGCGATTCGAGGGTGTGGGATAAGATATATATATTGACCTCCTTCTTTCTATTGTTGTGAATTACTTGCATTTATATTTTGCATCACATTTATACACATTTGATCAAGAGAAATTGAAAAGATGGGGAAAACAGAATGGTTGGCCTGTTCAGCTCTTGCTGCAACCTTGGTTTATATATTTCCACAACACTTCATTGTCGACCGGATTTCGAGATCAGCGATTCGTTTTCTTTTAGTTGATGTTTCATTATTTTCGTTTTGGCGCATGTTCATATATCCTTTCTTTTTTAGTCCGCTTCGTCATCTACCTGGTCCAGTGGTGAGTTTTTTCGACTCTTCAGAACTTCCTTCAATCATTAATATTTATATCTAGTCCCATAACTATCTCTGGGGTAATGGCACAGCACAATTTACCAAACCACCTGGACATGAAATCAAAGAGTTTGTTAAAAATGTACCTAATGATGGTTTAATCCGCATTCGATCCTTTGGCAATATCGAAAGACTTATTCCAACATCTCCTCAAGTATTGAAAAGTATTCTAGCGGATAATTCATACGATTATGAAAAACCATATGGAGTTCGGAAATTCCTTTCTCTGATCTTGGGTGAGGGGCCTATCATGTCGGAAGGTTCTCTTCATAAGTTTCAACGCAAACATCTACTTCCCGCTTTTCAAGTCAAACATATCAGAGGATTATACCCAGTATTCTGGGCCAAAGCTCTTGGTCTTGTCGAAGGTATCTCACAAGAAATAAGCGAAACGAGCACATTGGAAAAAAGGAATGAATCTCATATCGAATTCAATGAATGGGCTACTCGCGTTACATTGGATATTATTGGTGTAGCCGGTGTGGGTAGAGATTTCGGTGCTCTTCGAAATCCAGATGATCCTCTCGTACGAGATTACAACGAACTTCTCGAGCCTACCTTTAGTAAAGGTCTTTACTTTGCAGCCAATATCTTCGGTCCTCAAGATCTCATTCAGAAACTACCTTTCAAATATAGCAAAGTAATCGCCGAAACAACCGGGAATCTCCGAACCTTTTGTCGTGAAGTCATCGACAAAAAACGTCAAGCAGTAAGCGAAGGTAAAACAGTCGACGGAATGGACATCCTCAGTATCCTCGTCCGATCCAACGACTTCAGTAACGAGGATCTCGAAGACCAACTCCTTACTTTCCTAGCCGCCGGTCACGAAACTACATCCTCAGCACTCACATGGGCCATCTATCTCCTCGCCATCCATCCCGAATGGCAAACCAAACTCCGTCAAGAAATCCACGCTGCAATTCCTTCTCCCAGCGATCCCAACTCCCCACAACCAGACCACACAATCATCGATTCTCTCCCCATCCTCAACGCCATGATTCAAGAAACGCTCCGTCTCTACCCCACCGTTCCTCTCTCCGTGCGCAGACCACCCGCGTACTACCAGCATCTCACTCCCCAACTCCGCACCCATCTCCCTTCCCCTCGGAACACGCGTGCTTATTTCCCCGCTGGCCATCAACCGATCGCCGCTTCTCTGGGGTCCCAAAGCAGACGAGTGGTCTCCGGAGCGTTGGCTCCAAGATGGATGTGCGAATACTGGTGGTGCGGAGAGTAATTTTGCGAATATGACGTTTTTTCATGGGGAGAGGAGTTGTATTGGGAGAGGGTTTGCGATTAGTGAGTTTAAGTGTTTGTTGGCGGGGACGGTGGGGGGTTTGGAGTGGGAAATGTGGGATAAGGAGGAGGAGGTGAAGGTTGGTGGGGTGGTGACGACGAAGCCGGTGGGAGGGATGAATGTGAGGATGAAGGTTGTGGGGTGGTAGGGTTGTTGGGGTTATTGAGTTTTTTGGGGGGACTCTTGGGCGGATGTTCTTGGGAGTTTTATGAATTTAAGGGTGTGAACTTGATGTTTCCACGGTATGTTAGGCGTTCGGTGCAAACCATTAATAGTTCAGATAATGAATACCATACAACCTTAATTCTCAAGCAAAGTGACCAAAAGCAGTAAGAGAAACCATGATCTCATCACATATCCGACACCACCCAAAAACCATAACCCGAGCAGTCCTTAACCCCCAGAATCTCTATACATCATCATCAACCCATCTAGAATCTTGAATGTCAAAGTATCAGGATTACAGAAGAATGAATAATTCCTGTTACCTAACAAACGTAACGCAGTATGTAGACGATGTAGTGATTTTGAAACACCCCGAGAAGATGATTTGTGATTTCAAATCATCAACCTAAGTTCTACATAACCTCCTTTCATGAAATACGAGATCTGTGGGTACATATCCTCCTTGAGCTTGAGAGATGTTAAGGTATATGTTCCTTTACTGTTGCGATGGCGTGTGATTGAGTAAGACAGATGACTGAGAGCAGGTGGAGATGCTAACTAAGATCAGATGAGAACGGTGATCTGGGGTTGACGACAATGCTAAGGAAGAGTAGATAACATGCTGATCTGGAGTCGATGATAGCTATGAAACTTTAACTGACTGCTACGCAACACATAATGTAGTGCAAAAGTTGTGTGTCTATAATCCATAATCCAGAGCCAGTTTTTGTGAATTGTGACATAAATTACTCTTCCGAAATTCCCCTATCCCATATTCCGAAGCGAAGCTTTAGCTCTGTTAATAGCGATATGCCATAACCACTAATAAACAACACCTCGAACTCTTGAACCAGCTTCAGAACAGTCACATTCATTATAAATCTCTCCAAACTTCACTTTCACTTCCTTATCTCGTCCTCATCATAATCAATCATTTTCGCGTATCCAAATTCACTATAAAATACCAAAAGTCAACTTTGAATGTAAGCGAATGAAATTTTGATACGGTCAGTAAGGTATTTCAGAAATACCTTGTGGTCCTCCCCAAGCCTCTTCTTATGTGCCGTAGCTTTGACTGAAAATACTTTATCTTCTTTTTTTCCTTAAAAGTAAATCTGATTCTGGAAAAAAACTTACAACCATTACGACCTGCATTACCACCACCATATCGACAATTGGCAACTAATAACCACGATCGATAAACACAATTGACTAACTATACACAATAACGTATTAACAATTCATAAATACCTTTACAATCACAATGCTTTTTCCTCAATTCAACCCAATTGCTCCTGCGACTTCAAACAAGATGTACGAAAAGATTGTTCATAAAACCCTTAAAGGTAGAGTTACGAAGAACATAAAAAAGACGGTGACGTCTCCAAAAAAGCAGGTATCTAGCCCAGATGAGATGATGTCTAACTCAAAGCCAACTTCTGCGACCCCTCCCAATCGTCCTATCCGACTCATTCATTACCCCTTGAGCAAACAGCAAGCAACTTTGCTTCGAAGAATAAAGACTTCCTTGAAAAAGTCTAGCAATCCCGTTGAACGCGTTGAACCCAAGCAAGATCAAATGGATCTTGATAGAAAGATCGAATATACTTTCGAGACGAAGACGTCCGGCAGAATTCAAACGAAAAAGTTGGGAAAGTCAGAAAAACCAGTATTCAAGTCAAAATTCGCCAAAGAAACTACCTTTAGCGGAGTTGTCAAGAACAAGAAAGAGGCAAAGCCGGTGCTCCTCCCAAATTTTCCAAAATATCCAAAGTCTCCTCTAGCTATCTCGGAAAGTCGAGTCTTGCAACGTCCAAATGGCAAGGGGCTTGTTGCCTTGGGTCGAGAGGTGGTAAGATTCGGGGTTGCAAATGTGTTGAGATCCCTTGAAAGCGATGCAATGGATACTGTCAGTATACACTCTTGCGTGCCCTATAAGCTCCTCGTTGTATCTCTCGTCTATGTAATTGACTTGCCGTCATTCCTCTTTTGAGTTCGCTCAATCCATCTAGATACAATAAACTAACGATCCAATCAGAGAGAAGATTATGACTGGAACTACGACGGATTCAATGGATATCTTTTGGAAGAGCACAGGGCTAAATGTGTACAATTCCCAGAGATGGATTTGGAACCCGAGACCTTGATCCTTTATTACAAAGGAGAGGTCAATGAATATGGTATTGCTTGAGGTACCATAGCCCGAGATTTTGGCACAAACCTGGAATTTTTGAAGTACTCATTGTTTGTTGTCCCCATTTGGATTGGATTGGATTTCCTGGGCGAATGCCGCAACTAACTTTCTCTTAAGAATATGGTACTGATAGCTACTCATACCTTTGGCTGAACAAGAATCCTGAGAAACTGGTGTTCCCATCTGCGAATTTCCTATAAACTTCTTACGCGTTGTTGTCTTACGATTTACAGGTCTCCTTCTTGGGACATGGAGGTAAATGTCACGTGCTAGATCAGAACTAGTGCCTTTTCAACTTCCATCACCTAATTCGCGTCTGTTAACATTCGCGACAGATTGATTGTGAACTTCACCTGTCGATTATCAATCTCTCTACTGGTCAAATTTCTTTGAACTTACGGCAATTACAAGCTTTTCTTTTTGCGATTTCAATCATTACCTTCACGATGCAGGTAATGCAAGATCCCTCTCAAGGGATTCATCGCGACTTGGTATGTTTACAACTTATTCCAGCTTCAATTGTCAATTATCATCTAATTCATTGCGCAGTTACATCACGTTCATCTTCTCTCTACATATCGATTTCCAATTACACCTACACAATTACATCCCGAAAGAGTCGCAGAATGGCTTATGAATGGACCTAAAATTACTCGCGATCAAGCTCCTGTTTATTGGACTTACCTGGACCGACCGGTTGATGGCACAGTCTTATTATCATGGCAAACACCTTCATTGGGTCAGGAATTTCCAAGTGATGGCTACGTCTGGGCTCCTGGAGAGACAGCTTTCTCTCTCGAAGTTATGGGCTGCGTGAGTTTATATGAATGTGATTTGGGCAGAATTTAACTGACCTCGTTTGCTTTCGCAGACTCTAGAAATTTACCATTGCAAAATCGGCTATGGTACTGGAGAACCTATCGCATCTCATACTCGTCGCCGATATCGACTTTTACCACCACGAATTCCAAATCAAAATCCTTCACCTGATCCAAATCTATGGATTATACATTATACTCAAGCTCCTCCCGAGGATCGTCTCCCACCACATATGATCCCAATCAATCAACAAATTCAAACCATTATGAGTACACGACAATACTTACATCAACAAGGTCAACTTATTCACAAGGAGTTCTTACTTCATGATAGAGCAAATTGGGCAAAGATCGATTTCCCTCGTGGTCATCCAAGAGGTGCTCCAATGTATGCAGCAAGCATTCCACCAAGAGTTCCTCAATCAATGGCATATCCTACTCACCCTCAACCTGGTCCGCCATCAAAACGCGCTCGTACGGCCAATGTTGCTCAAGCAGCAGTCGCAAATAATGCTGCAGCAGTTGTCGAAGAAGACGAGGAAGAGAATTCTCGAGGAGATTGGTTTGATCTTACAACACCTAGGGAAATCAGTTATAGCAGGTTCCTTGCAAATTATGAGTGGATGGAGGAAGTACTCTCTTCACCCTACGCCATCAATCAAATTGTTCCCACAGACCTTGGACTTGGTCTTCGTGGTGAACTAAGCAGTCTCACTGAAGGCATATTTAATGCTCCTCTCAAAGAGACTGAAGAACCAACCCTTAATTATGTTGGTCGTCTTGATCCTGGAAAGGCAGATGAGTTCCGCAAAAGAGCTCATGATACTATTGCACAAACCAACAAGGATATTGAAAAAATGAAAGCTAAGCATGCAAAACGTGTTGCAAAATTTCAAAGAGGTTCTCTTATTTCTCAAGCTGAGAAAGAATTGCGTACCGCTGTCGATAACCCTTCAGATATTGGTCCCGAATATTGGAGACTTGAAGGTAAAATCGATGAAGAAGAAAATGAAGAATCTGAAATTCCAATCAATATTCCTTCCAAGGTTGATGATGTCCTTGCAAAGGTTGAAGCTTCTCTTGGTCGTCATGCAGTTGCGATTAGTGAACTTCGTCGTATTCAAGATGGTGGATATGAAGAAGTTACTGCACGAGCAAGTCCTCCACCTTCTCAACCTTCTCGAAACAATTCTCAACAAAGTGGTGTTCTTATGAATGATACTGATGTTGGTGATGTCGGTGATGTTGATATGACCAATTCTACTGCTGGTTTACTGGATCAATTCCACAATAGTAATCCATCTTCATCACACGCCACACCAGTAAGTGCCAGTTATCCAACTCCTGGTCACTTACAACATCCTTCTGCAGCAACTACACCAGCTGGAGCTTTACATATGGCATCTCCACATCTCTCTCAAACTATGGGAACACCACAAATTACACAACAGAGTCAATCTCCTCCACAACAAGAACAAAATGATGTTCATATGCAAGATTCATCTTCAACAGCAGAAACTCAACAACCCATGACTACAACAGCGCCACCTACAACAGGTGCTGATACATCAGATTGGGTTGTTGTACCACCAGGAGGTGTCTCACCTACAGCAGACCCTTCTAACAATAATTCAAACAACGATACACCAAATCCTCAAACTCAAAATCAAAATCAACAATCAACATTATCTGATTTTTCCAAGCCATCTTCCGATAACAATACACTAGAACAAACAACAACTTCTACCTCCTTACCCGAACCACAACAAGAACATCAAGAACACCAAGGGGGACAGGAAGAACAAGAACATCATACCGAACTCAACGAAAATGATTTCGATCTTGAAGATTTAGATACAGCTGGTGATGCTTTAGCTTCATATGATGCCGGTGATGCCATGGGTGATGATGGACATGGTTTGGGTGATCTCGTCGATGATAGTGCATTTGGCGATGCTTTTCACGGCGTCGATCATCACAATGATAATGTTGATGAAGACCATCACGGCATGTAAGATAAGCAAGGTTTATGGATGGTTTTGGCATCGATACCGACTTGACGGATGATACGAAGAATCTCTATGGAATTATTTACGATGACGAGATTCGCCGCAACATAACCAAACGACTAACTTTGGGTTTTCGAACTTCACATTTCTATAATTGAAAACACTCCTACTTTGTGAGTGAGGAACTTCCTCCTTTGATTTATCCTTGGGGCATGAAAGAACCTTGATGTTAATAGAATTTGTGGTTTGGATATTGAGTTGAAGATTTGTTTTTGAGTCGGTGATCTGGGTATTAGTGAGTAGGTCGTAGGGATTTTGAGATTTCATATGGGTTGGGTTGGATCGGACTGAACTGAACTGGAGTGGTCTTATACTAAGAATGGGTATGATTAGAGAGGAGATGAAAGGAGAGTGGCTCTAAAAATCATCATGGGCATTGGTGGATATGGTATTGATTGAACTGTGGTGGAACTTTGCTGATGGATGAAGATTGGTGGATGGATGAATTCTCTGCTGAGAAAAGGATTTAAGCGTTGATTTTCAAATTTGTTTGCTTATTAGTTTCTTATTCTGCTTGTATGATAATACTATGAGTTGTATGAATAGAGATTTTTTGTTTTATCTTACCTAGCTTGATTGAATCCCACCTTTTGTGTGCCAATATGATATGTGAGATTGGTGGTAACATCCAATAAACTACTAATATATAAGTATTATCAACATTGTCAGGAATCTTTAGCCACAAGATCTTCAGTAGCAGAACAATTGAAAATGGTAATGTCTCCAGTGTAGAACCCAAAACCCAAAACCCAAAACGTCGAGGAACAATTTCAATCACATGTCATGCCCCTCCAAAACGCGGGGCACATTTTCCAGCGATACAACATGCAAGTCCTCAAAAAAGTTGGCAGCGCGTCCCACAATGCCACTTTCAATATCATTTTCTAAATGACTTTTGTTTAAACCACAAAGACATTCTTTTAATAGAATTTACACATCTTCAATAATCTCTGATTTCAAGATGGGAGACAATACAAATGCCTCAGTGGCAGATCCATCCGTCATAACCATTGATAACATTTCTACCAGAATGCCCCCTCATGATATCAATGGCGTCGAGAAATCCACAGATCATTTATATGCTTTAGTTGATATGGGAAGGTAAGAGAAAGAAAGAAAGAAAGAATCCCCTACTAAATAAAGCCTAGCAATGGAATCCGCTTCTCCATCTCCGATCTCTCACCTCCTACATCCCGTCTCCTTCACTGCATCTATCGCGATCGGGCTGCCATTTCTCTTTACGACGCGCTACATTCTTCGCTTCCCGGGTCTCGAGAATTCTACTTCGACGCCGAGACGATTTCGCGCGTGGCGGGGTGTCTCGCGGGATTCAAAAAGATATGCGATTCGTACGGTGTTTTGCGGAAGAATATCGGGGTGTTTGCCACGGAGGCGATGCGCACGGCGGAGAATAGGGAGGAGATGACGAGGGCGATTGGTAGGGAGAGTGGATTGGAAGTGGATATTTTGAGTCCGCAGGTGGAGAGTTTGCTGGGGGCGTTGGGGGCGCGGAGTGGGTTTGGGGGTGTGGAGGGTGTGATGATGGATTTGGGGGGTGGGAGTGTGCAGATGACTTTTATGGATAGTGGGGGTGCTGTGAGGGAGATGGGAGAGGTTGCGGAGATTAGTGTGGAGGAAGAGGGAGAGGGAGAAAGATATTGGACGAAAAGTGCGGCGTGTGCGAAGAGTATGCCTTTTGGAGCAGCGAAGATGACGGCGAAGATGAAGGGGGATGATATTCATGATATTCGCACTGATATGCGTTCTCGATTTCAAGAGACCTTTCAGGGATTATGTCACAGGTTTCCCAAACTTCAAAAGCATGTGAAGGATGAAGGTGTGACGATATATTTCTGCGGTGGAGGATTCAGAGGTTACGGAAGTATGTTGATGCATACTGATCCCATCAATCCATATCCCATCCCCTCTATCGCCGGCTACACAGTATCTGGGAAACGCTTCAAACAAACGAAAGAAATGCTCAGAGTCAATGCCGAGGAAAAAGAAAAGATCCACGGCATGAGTAAAAGACGTCGGGAACAATTTCCCGCCATAGTCGAGGTGGTGGAGGGAATCATAGCAACCGTTCCCAATATCAAAGAAGTGATAT